CACACCCGGGCTCCCGGTGCCCGATCCCCCCGGGATCGACAGTGCCACGCGGGAGCGGGGCTCGGGAACCGGCAGCGCGCGGACCGGGAATCGCTGCGTGTCGCGTGGAACCGGGGCTGGACACGCTCTAATTCCACCCGCGATGCCCAACCTGCCCCCGTAAATAAACGCCCCGTTCTGTGAAGTCATCGCCCCAAAGGGCAACGAAAAATCGATACCCAGGCAAGAGTTAAACAATTCTGAATAATTTATTAGAATTTAGCGGAGGTGCAAGAGAGGCGAGTTCCGCCAACAGAAGCGCTCCGTGACGGGCTTCGAAAAACAAAGGGAAACAATATTAGCGAGAAATAGCAGAATTGGCCCGAACCCGATGCCTCGGTGTGCGCCCGCTCCTGGCGCGGCCGCGTTTGTCCCCGCCAATTATCCACGCGTTAATTTGGGGGGTTTGGGTGCCCACGGACGAACTTTCGAGGCTCCCGCGGGGCCAGTCCCACGGAAGCTCCCGTTAGCTGTTGCCCGCGGGATGGAGGATGCGGGGCTGACCCGACCCCGCGGGGCGGTGCGGGATGGAGGATGCGGGGCTGACCCGACCCCGCGGGGCGGTGCGCGGAGCCTGCGCGGCCCCCGCCGCCCCCCCCACCGTGCCGGTGGCCACTCCCCCGCCGCCCCGGCCCCGCTCCTCGCCGCGCTCGCCCGGGACCTCGCGCACGGTCCCGCTCCTAATTAAATTAATTAGGGCTCAGCGCGCGGCGGGCGGGCGGTGCCGTGGCCGCGGTGCCCCGCGGCGGGCGGGCGGCCGGCGAGGACGGGGAGGAAGGAAGGGAGGAAGGAAGGGGTCCATTCAGAGCTCCGAGGGGAGGTAATTCGCCGGGAACAAGGGGCCGGCTTTGCAAAGTATAAATAGTGCCACTTCAATCGCGGCGTCGCTATCAGACCCCGGGAGCCCTACACGTCGGGCGGCACGGCCCGGCACGGCCCGGCTCGGCACGGCCCGGGGCGCCGCCGCCTCCCCCCCGCTCCGTGGATGCCCGCCCGGGGAGCCGGGGCAGCGCGCCCCTGAGCCATGGAGGAGCTCACGGCGTTCGTCTCCAAGTCGTTTGATCCCAAAGCCAAGGAGAAGAAGGAGCTCATCACCTACCGCGAGGTGCTGGAGAGCGGGCCCCTGCGCGGCCCGCGGGAGCCCGGCGGGGCGGCGGCGGAGCCGGGCCGGGAGGACACGGGCAGCCCCGCGGCGCGGCCGGCCGGGAGGACCCCGCCGAGGGAGCCCGACGCCGCCGCCGAGAGAGCGGCCGAGGCGGCCACCCCCAAGCTCAGCGACGGTAACGGTGGCACCGCGGGACCCCCTTGCTCCCCTTCCCCTTGCCCTGCTTCCCCCGGCGGGGGTCGGTGCGCGGGGGGCTGGCGGGGAGGCTGCGCCCGGCTGGGATGGGCGGCTGCCCGGGCTTCGCCGGCCGAGGGGGATCCTTGGCCGGCCTCGAAGTTTTTAGATTAAAATACTGCAACATGGATTTAACTCGCTCGGAACGCGATCTCGTTCCCGCTCGGCACCCCAAGGGGAAGCCAACGAAATCCCGGCCCCGCGGGCCCGTTCGTTTCCCGCGGGCCGGGTGGCCTCAGCGGGGCGGTGCGGGGGTCGCTGCGGGGGCTCCGCGCTCTGGCCCGGGGCGCGTCTCCGGCAGAGAAGGACCCAAGGAAAGGCTGGCTCCCGGAGGGGCGCGGAGGGGCCGCGGCGGCCGGCGGAGGCTCTCGGGACCTGTTGCAGCGCATCCCCGAGGGTCGGCGGGGAGGGCTCGGTGCGGACCCCGCTCCCCCCACCCGCGTTCCCGCAGCCGGCGGCGGGGCCCGCAGCGGCGGCGGCGGAGGCGGCCTAGCGCGGCCCGGGCGGGCAGGCCGCGCTCCGGCTGTCCCGGCCCCGGGGGGCTCCCACCGCATCCCCCCGGGCAGCGGCGGGTGCGGGATGAGCCCCCGGACCGCGCGGTGCCCGTCCCGCAGCCCCGCCGGTCTGACCTCTGTGTCGTGCCCAGTGACCCCAGAGCTGAAGGAGCGCAAGGAGGATGCGAAAGCGATGGAAGACGAAGGGCAGACGAAAATCAAGCAGAGGAGGAGCCGGACGAATTTCACCCTGGAGCAGCTGAACGAACTGGAAAGGCTTTTCGACGAAACCCACTACCCGGACGCGTTCATGCGGGAGGAGCTGAGCCAGCGGCTGGGGCTCTCCGAGGCCAGGGTGCAGGTAGCGGGGTTGCGGGGGTCCGTCCCGAGTGGGTGCATGTGCTCGGGGGAAAGGGCCAGCTCGGGAGGAGCCGGGGACATGATGGGGAAGAGCCTCATCCTTCTGCCAGGGCGAGGAGACAGCTCCCGGCCCCAGCTTCACCCAGCAAACCTGGAAACCGCCTCCCAGGGTTTTGCCTCCCCGGGATTTGTCTCCTGGCGTGTCCCCATCCCTTCGTTCCGCCGGGATTTCTCGCAGCTCCGCTTTTATTCCATCCCTGCCTCGGCAGCAGCTCGGTGGTTCTGTGCCGGTGTGGACTGTGGTCCCTCTCCTTCCCTGCTCGAGACTCATCCACAGACATACAGATTCACTTCAGGGCTGTTTCTAATTCATAAATTGGATTAGGAACCCTCAAGTGAAAAAAAAAATTATATCTATCTTTATATATATATAAAAATCTTCACACAGTTCTTAAATTTTGAGGGAAGCGGCACAAAAATCGAGCGAGGTGCTTTGTTCGGGTTTGTGAAACACAAAAAGTCTGGGATAAACTCGGGTTATTTTTAAGCTTTCTCCCTCCCCGAGAAGCTGTGGCTTCCCAGGATTTAACCTGTGCTTTTCACCCTCCCAAAGTTTTCCAAAATGGGTTCCCAGGCTGGTTTCTGCGAGTTTTGTCAGGATGAGCAGAAGAGCAGGGAGGAAGGAGATTCCTCAAATGAGAACAAATGTAGTTGCTCCGGTGTATTTCCGTTCTGTTAATAAAAAGAAGAGAAAATGATGGTCATTATGTGTATGAACACATGGAGCAGTTTTAGGCCCCGAACATCTGCAGCTGGTAGAAAGTATCTCTGTAACAGATACTCCCCCTCAATCTTTGTGCTCGCAGGCACCATCTGCACCCAACTATGCGCTCAATCCTTGGGGGGTTTCCCTGCATCGTGTAAGATTATAAGGACAGAGGCAGAGCCAGCACGGGGAACCGAAAAACTCCAAATGAGCAGCTTTTGTCAGAGCCTGAACCACAAAATATAAAAATTAAAAATAAAAGTATCCTTTCCCTTCTCCTCCACCCTTCTTGCCCCCCCCCCTTTTTTATTTTTTTTTTTAATTTCTCTTTTTTTATTCGGTTGATGGGTTTTGTTTGGGTTGGTTTGTTTGTGGTTTTTAAATTTATTTTTTATTTCCGTCCACGAAATCTTAACAAAACCAAAGCAAAAAGTTGTTGGCTGTGGAAAATGGAGCAGGGAGGTGCTCGACAAAGGAGGCGGCGGCGGCGCATAATCCGCGCTCCCATGATGCCAAATCGCAGGGTGCATAATAACTTTTGGAGATTTACATAGATTAAACCCATTCCCTAGAAATCCTGCCGGGGAAAAAAAAAAAAAAAAAAAAAAAAGGCGCTTTGCAATAATATTTTGCCTCGTATCTGCGCTAATTTGTAAATTAGGGAATGTGCGTTTCGCCAGGAAGCTGAGGGCGAACGTGGCTGTTGGGCAGATTTTCCTTGGCTGGAGTAAATGACAGGGCGGGAGAAATTCCCGTTTATGCCAGGCTCTTCGAAAGACCTCAAAAATGCAATTTTTATCTTTTTTTTTTTTTATTTTTCTGGCCGTGGGGAAAGGATTCCTCGGTGGATGTGGCTGCCGGGATGCGGCGCAGAGCTCGGGGTTAAAACAGAGATGTTTAAAGAAGCGCTTTGCTCCCCACCCTTCCCTCCCTCCTTTCTCTGAGCGAGCAGAACTTTAGCCTGGAAATTTATTTTAACGATTTCATTTCCAATATTAAAAGTGTCTGCTTGTCTAACGGGCAGCGTTTTCTGTGCAAGCAAATTAGATTATCATGATAATGAGATAATTATTCCGCTTCTGTGCTACACTCCGGTGAACAGAGAAATTCGAAACTTCTTTGTAGCGAAGGTTTTAGGATCATAATTACCCCCCTCAAAAATAGGAAAAAGAAAAAAGGGAGTAAAAGGGGTGGAAAAAAAAGTCATTAAACTCTTCGGTGCTGAGTTTTTCTGGGAGATAAAGCTAATTAATTTATTTATTAATGAGCACGATCTTCTCAGGCCCATTAGAGCCCGTTAGTATTGGATGTCAGGGGGCAATTTGGGTCTTCGGGGACCTCGGTTTGGAAAGAGGAACCCGGGGCTTGGGAAATCACGTCCCCGGAGCGCTCACTGGCGATTTTCGGGCTATTTTAACTCTTTGCCTTTTTTGCCTTTTGGAGCTCGGGAGCGGGGGCTGCCCGGGCTGGGGGAGCCCACCCGCGTGTCTTTGTCGGAGGGATTGCGTGGTCTGGGATATTTTGGTTATTATTAGTAGTAGTGGTATTGGGTTTAGTAGTGGGTTTATTTATTATTAGTAGTAGTGGGTTTATTTTCGGTCTGGAGCTCCGCGGCAGCGCCACCGTGACCCCCGTGTGCCCCCTCCCCGCAGGTCTGGTTCCAGAACCGACGAGCCAAATGCCGAAAGCAAGAAAACCAACTGCACAAAGGTAGCGGAGGAGGGGGGGGGGGGGGGGGGGGGGGGGGGGGGGGGGGGGCGAGGCGGCCGCTCGGGGGTCTCCGCCACGCCGCCCTGCGCTGTCCCCGCAGGTTCAGGCGCAGCTGCAGCTGGACAGCGCCGTGGCCCACGCGCATCACCACCTGCACCCGCACCTCGCCCACGCTCCCTACATGATGTTCCCGGCCCCCCCCTTCGGGCTCCCGCTCGCCACCCTCGCCGAGTCCGCCTCCGCCGCCTCCGTGGTGGCCGCGGCCGCCGCCGCCAAGACCACCAGCAAGAACTCCAGCATCGCAGACCTCCGCCTGAAGGCCAAGAAACACGCCGCTGCCCTGGGGCTGTGACCGCCCCCGCGCCGCTTTTTTTAAAAAGGAGAGGGGGGAAAAAAAAAAGAAAAAAAAAATGTAAAAAAAAAAAAAAAAAAAAAAAAAAAAAAAAAAAAAAAAAAAAAAAAAAAAAAAAAAAAAAAAAAAAAAAAAAAAAAAAAGGGAAAACAAAACAAAACAAAAAAAAAGGGGGAAGAAGAGAAAAGAGAAACGGACGGGAGATATATAGTTATTTAAGGAATTGGAGGAACTCGACGCGCAGCTGGGAAGTTCACAGGTTTTGAAACTGACCTTTTTCTGCGAAGTTCACTTTAATACAAGAAATTTGATAAGAGAGGCGGGCCTCCCTTCACGTTGCATCAGATACTTGAGTTTAACAACCACGTCTGGAATAGCGACAAAAAAAAAAAAAAAAAAAAAAAAAAAAAAAAAAAAAAAAAAAAAAAAAAAAAAAAAAAAAAAAAAAAAAAAAAAAAAAAAAAAGACAGTGATTTCTCTGCAAATTTCTAATGGGAAACTGTCCGGGATACTTCCTCCAGCAGCATTCCGGGTTGCATGTATTTGTATTTCATTGATGGAGTCCTTTGATTCACTTGCACTTCACCCTCATCTTTAGTAGAAAAAAAAAAACAAGACAACCACAGAACCAAACAAACAAACGTGGCTGGGTTCTTTCTCCTTTAATCCTGGAGGGAAGCAGGCAGAGAGAGGGAGATCAAGCACTACCTTTTCCACTCTCAAATCTTTGTTGGTCGTTTGCTGTCCCACCTCTGAAATAAAAGGGAGCGGAAAGCATCAGGAGAGCGGAGTGTGCCTCCCTTTGCCGGCTCTCTCCTGTCCTGAGGGCAAAAACAAATGAGGGAAAAAAAGAAAAAGGAAAAAAAAAAGAGTATTTAATTCCCAACCACCACTTGACACCACGGCAAATTCCAATAAGAGGTACTGGGTACATGTAAAATATGTTGATACACACGAACAAAGTTTATTTTGGCTATAACTTGTGAATTGATAGTTGACTGTCAAACATTTACATTTTATCTCATAAAGGTGTATCTATTCACCTTTAATCTTGTGTAATCTTGTGATTTTTTTTTTGGTTATTATTATTATTATTTGAGAGACGTATAGCTATTTAACCTGGGGCACCCCACAGTCGGTGATTGTTATCCCAGATTTTGCCATCAGACCCTCAAGCTTATTGCCAAGACAGAGGGAAAGCTCTTCTACGTGAACTTTGGTATGGACGGGCTTTGTATCTATTTGTTCTCCATGAAAACAAAATTATTTATATTGACCATATTTTTTCTAGTGTATTTTAAGTTATTTAAAAAAGAAAATGAAAAAAAAAAAAGTGAGCAAGATGCTGTTATTTCATTGCATTTGTTGTCAGTACAATATATTTTGTTTCACTCAGGTTTGCTTCACCTTTTTTAATCCATTTTCGACGTCACGAATTTCAATAAGTGCCAAGTAATGAATTTTAAGACACTTTGCGACCTATTGACTGAAGGGGGGGGACGGTTTGGGGGACGGTTTCACCTCCCTCCTGGTACTGTCGATGTCCAACCATCGGTGATGTTCTTTCTGTTCTGTGTTTACACCCTTCTGTAGAGCTCGCACGTTTCTTTCCGCTCCGTAGATACCGCGACAAGCCGATAGCGCTCAGCACGACGAGGAAGCGCATCTCTTTTTTTTTTTTTTTTTTTTCTTTCTTTTTCTTTTTTTTTCTTTTTTTAAAACCACTTTATCTGAGTTTTTCCTGAGTTTCGGCTGCACAAACCCCGGGGGCGCGGCGTTCGCGGTGGCTTTTGTGTTTGCAGCCAAAGCGGCCGGTGGAAGCTCTATAGCAATTGTGTCTTTACAAGTTCTGTCAGGTTCCCTCAGGTAATAAAATCGAGGAAAGTGGAACGGCTCGGAATGTTTTGCAGGGAGGGATCGCGGCGCGGGTGGGTGGGGGTGGATTGGATCGGAGGCAGAGCCCGCCGTGGGTCGGGTCGAGCGCTGCCGGGATGGCTCTCGGGGTACCGGGATGGGGCTCCTGCCCCCCAAAACGGGCTCTGGGAGGCTCCAGCTCTCCCGGCAGGAGGAGCGGGCTCCGGGGATGGACGGGGTGGGCTGGGGGGCTCCGAGCGGGGAGCAAGGGGAGCCGCAGCCCTCGAACCCCCGTTGGGCTTCTCCTCGGGGGAGCGGCGACCTCCGGTGAGCAGCAGGAAGGGTCCCCCCAGGGCCCGGCTGCGGCACCGGGGGGGTCGCGGGAGGCGGCGGGAGAGAGCCCGAGGTGTCCCCGCGGGCTGGGCAGGGACAGCGACAGCGACAACGACAGGGACAGTGTGCCCGGAGCCCTCCCGGTGAATCCCGCAGGCAGCGAGAGCCAAAGCAGCTCGGAACGCCTCTATGCAAATAACGGGCTGCAAATGATGGATTTTGTGTTAGGGAAAACAGCTTTATTCAGGCAAAAGTAAGATGCTGCTAATTATAAAGTCAATAAAACTCGCGGTGGTGCCGATTGATCCCCCCATAAAGCAGTTCATTAATATGAGCACCAGCAGCACGCGGTGCAGAGCCCGGGCTCAGCCTCGGGGATCCTCACCCTCCTCCAGACAAACCTGGCACGGTTTACCTGCTCTCTTCAAACCACGTCTCGTTTAGGCAGAGTTGCCCAGCAATCTTGTGCAGGTTATTGATATGTGCAGTGTAAGTTTGGTGGATGTGTACAAGGGGAATCTCCAACCTTGACTCAGCTGTCGGCACGTCTGTCTGCAAGATGATTGTAATAAAAAAGACACGAAAAATGTGCTTTCATCCTGCCAGGAAAGGCGACTGGATGGTGTAAGAGAACTGTGTATTTTTTAGCGCAGCTGTGATTAAAATAAAATAGCCTTAACGGGATATTTTTGGACAGGAATACTCACATTCCTGCTTTCCTTGGACTGGAATGCCTAACAAGTCTATAGGCCAGCAGAAGTTGGCCAGGACTGCTCTGTTTCTATTTTATTTCTTAGAGTGTCTGAACCTATATAAAACCTACATAAACCCCCAAAGGTTTCCTGAAGGGTCACTGTGGGTATTCCACGAGCCAGCCGGCGCTCACACTGCCTGTGACCCCTGCAGAGAAAATTTTTGGGTGGAGATGTGCTGGCCTGGGCAGGGGACCGAGGGAAGAGACCAAACAGAGCGTGTGGGAAGGAGTAAACACCTGTTTCTGTCCTCGCAGAGCCCGTGGCGTGTCGGCAGCAGGACCTGGCGCGGGTTCCTCGGGGCTGAAGCAGCAGCTTCCATGTTTTGTTCTCCCTCTGCAGCAGCACGAGGCGAGGTGAGCAGGGCAGGGCGAGGGCAGCCAGGTGTCTGACAGGCAGCTCGGACACCACCACGCTCGTGGATCCCAGTTCTCCGCACAGAAACCCTGGAAATGAGAAGAAATGAAAATTCTGTGTCCGTCCAGCGCATAAAACTGCACAAAAACCCGCTGAACACTGTGTATAAAATTGATGTGTTGTGTTGCTCTCTCGCTGCTCAGCTTTATTGCAGGTAAAGCTTTTAAACTTGCCTTTCAGAGGAGCAGCACTGGAAAAGCACTTGAGCCTCCGTGGCTTCCAGTCCTTCGAGTGAGCTGTGGCTGGATACCCACGGAATAAATAATGGGCTTTGCGTAACACTACACACTGTGCTGCTTCCTGCCCAGTAAATATTGATGCTTGTCCAATTTTGTGGCTGTTCCCATTTCGTTTGCCCTTGAGTCTTCGGTTTCTGGCTATTCCTTGGCCTTTCTGTGAAGTGCCAGCAGGCAAAAGTGCACCTGAAAGGTCAGAAACGTAAAGAAATAAAGCAGCAGATCTGTATCGTTTCCGTGCTTTTGAGGTGGGCAGCGAAGTTCTGAAAGGAGCTGGAAAAACTGTCCTCATTTTTAACCTTTCCTATGTTTGAGCAGCAAATGCCCCTGGTTTTGCTGGGGGACCTAATAAATGTGAGCTGTCACTACTCACAGCTTACACCAGGGCCCAGCCTTCCCTCCAGGTGTTCTTCAGGCAATTAAGTTGGTGTGAATGAAGGAAATTCTCAGAATTTTCTACACCACGAGTCTCCCCAGTGCAGTGGCAGACCGTGGGTTTTGGGATGCCTTTGTGCTGCTTGGCCTGTTGTTACTGATTTTAGGGACTGGCCAAAAGCTGGGTTTGGAATGGAAGGAGCAGCCGAGCCCTCGGTGCCCGTCGCCTGTGTCGGCAGCGTGGTAACACCCTGCCTTCTCTCCACAGAAATGAGCAGCACAAACCTAATTTCTCCTTTGTTTGAGGCCCATTTCTGATTTCAGTGGGAAAGGCTGGGAGTGCCAGGCTCTCCTGCCCGCAGGATCTGTGGGAATCTGCCGAATCATCCGCGTGCGGCATCGCCCGATGCTGTGCCCACACACGGCTCCTGGGCTGGGCTGCAGAGGCAGCTTCTCCTCCAGCAGGATCCTCCTGTGCTTTTCCCACAGAGGGCTCTTCTCTGGGGAAACTCTTTTCGTATGGCAGCTGTGAAGGGTGTCTGGGAATGTCTTCCTTCATAGCCAAGGTTTAAAACCTTTGCACATCAGACACGCTGATGTGCCATCGACTGTCCCCTTTCGCACAGGTAAGAGTCACCCGGGGAGAAATCCTGGGAGAGAATCCCCAAATGGGGAGGCACAGAAGGCACAAAAGGAACAAGGGGCAGCTCGACTTTCTTGGCAGCCACAGGCACCTTGGGAGCAGCGAGGACACAACCCCCTGTTTGACAGAGCCCAGCAGCAGAGCAGCGTGATCTCTTGATGAACATCTTAAGCTAATTTAGAGGAGCAAGACACCGGTTTTAATAATGCATTAAGGAAATGCAGCTGCATCACCCTTCAGGCTGACATGCTGTGTGACAGGCTAATAGCCACATTGGTGCAGGATCCACTGGGATCACACTGGGATCCTGGCAGCATGTCTCCAGGTCTGTGTGGAGTGGCTGCAGGAGCCCTCAGCAGGTGCCTGCGCACCCTCCTGTCTCTGCCAGCCAGTCACATCCTGGTGTTTGGAATGGCCAG